CTTTAGATAGATGCTTTGAGCTCTCATTTGAAATGATGTGACTGAAGGTTACAGATTTGCCCAATCCAACTGATTAATAGAATTAATTACTATAATCTAGATATAATTTCTAAATTTTATCATTTATAGAATTTGAATTTAGGTCATTTACATAAAATATAACATTATATATATATAGAGAAATATTAATAACTAATATTGTATAAGACTTCAAAATAGACTTATAATAAGATCACCAGACACAAAAGACTAAAAAACTGAAAAAATGAAATCTTATTTATAAATTCTTAAGTAAAGAGATTATACAAAATTTTGCCAATATTGTTGAACTGATAGAAATCTATAAAACATCTTTATAGAAATAGATAAATAATTTAGATAATAAAGATATATAGAAGAGCATATGACCAATCAGGCTATTAGAATTGTTAGAAGAAAAGGATACTAAAATATATCATACTAGGTCATTTGAATTGAAAGTTTAAAAGATCTGTTAGTTCTAAGTTATGATTAATAGAGAATAATAGAAAAGATATCAAAAAGATAAGTATCAGAATTTGAATAAATTTTACAAGAATAGAAATAATATAATATAACAATTTAAGATTAATCCTAACTATAAGTATTAGGTAACTATAACATGTTATATAAAACTAGGTTAGTTGTGTGTAAGACATAAAAAACTCTAATAATAATGTTTCTAAAGATATATTGTATAAAATAAGATATGAAATTCTAAGAGTATAGATAAGCATCTAGACCTTCTTGATTGACATGTGTATCAGAAATAATTTAGTAACACAGTAAGGATTGCAGTACAGAAGGTTTAAATAGGCAATGCTTCTAGTTAGATTGCAAGTATGACAGCTAATGTAAAACCATTAACAGACTGCTTAAATTAGACACTAAAAGTGTAAATGTGGCTAGTTGTACTCTTTAATGTAAAGGTGACTCCTTTGAGGCCTTGGCCGTGAGTCCCTATATCCTAATTACTGAATAAAAAACCCCAATCCTAGTTTAATATATAAAAAAAAAATTTAGTTTGATAATATTTATATTTTTTATTATAAAATTAACCATTACATAGTAAAGTGTCACGGAATCACATAAATAGTATTTTAAAATTTATCTGCATTATTTGTCGCATGAGTTACATCATATGTGACAACAAATTTTGATCAACCAATCATAGGATTTTTAAGCATGCTGACTGAACGCATATGCCTACTAGTATTGCTAGAATATCCGGACTATCCGAGGTGTATTCGATACGGTCGGTCAAAATTTAATAATTCGTTAAAAAAATTCAAATTCAAACGAAATATCATTTACAAAGCAATGCAAAAATCTCCAAAACTGTAAAACATATAATTATATTAAAGGGCAGTCCGCAGTTAAATGGTATAAAATACGGCGGACATGTTACTATAACTTTCATATAGTGATGGAATGCCAAGCATTTCTGACAACAAGGAAAAACCATATAGCGATAGTAAAAAAGAAAAAAAAATCATAATATCTTGTGATTTACACAACCGATTTTAATGATTTTATTATCATTAGGATCGGAATGACATTTACAACTTAATTAAAGATTTAAAGATGTTTACTTAGTAAAAAATTAATATTTTTCATTGTAACGAACGGCATTCCACTACTATAAAAAATTTATAAGTTCCGACTATGATACTTAGTAATGATTATACCCTTTAACTGCTAACTACCTCTTAAGTAGTTTTGGAAATTTTAATAGTTTTGGATCTCTTGCAGCATAGGTGACACCTACTCTAATCAATTGCTCCATAAAATATTTTATTAACGATGTCACCTGTACTGCGAGAGATTCATATTGATGTATTTTTTTTCATTTTTTTTTATCGATGTCTTTTTCGATTTCAACAGTACCAGTAACTTCCGTTAATTAAAGTGTCGAATCCAAAGTTTTGGGACGTAGATTCTACATTGTCGTCATTTGGGACTTGTAAAGTGTTATAATTTAATGCCGTCGTCTGAGGTAAACGTAGATCAAATAAAGGTTCTGAAGCAATTAACTCCAAGGTTTGTGATAATGTAGAGGCAGATAAATCGTTCTCGGTTAAGTTACACGAGTAATCACTTGACATCAGAGTTGGAGAATAGAATGAATAGCTCGAGTAGGTAGTGGGTTGGATACTAGTTCATGTAGATTTGAGTTTTTGAGAGCTATGAGAGACAATAATTTATGTCGATTTAACTAGCAAATCCTTTTTTTTTTGTATTTTTTACTACAGTCACACCCCTAAGTGTATGCAGCTGTAAATTTGCACTTAGAGAAGATTTACGATTATCTCTAAGTGCATATTTAAAACTAGTTATAAGGTTTGCACTTAGAGGAGGTGTAAATTTATCAAATTGATTTAAAAATTATTTTTAATGGTTTAAGATCACATGCATATAGTTATTTTAAAATTTTATGCATATGCAGAATATAGAAGGTGGTTAAGTCCCAAACTTGGGACCAGATTATAATATGCATTTAAGGAAGGTTTGCACTTAGAGGGCGTGCATTTAGGAGGGTGTGACTGTAAAAGTAAATATAAATATTGATACCTATTATTAGTCATTTGAGAAGTTTGACTTGCTTCATACGATCGTGTCATGTCATTTAATAAAGCTATTGTATTTATATAATATTAAAAATTGAATAACTAAGAAACAACTAGAAATTTAAAACAATAACATTACCAGAAGTGATTTCAATTTTGTGGTCACAATTAGAATGTTGAAGGTAAGGTTTTTGGTTATCTGCATTTCGGATGATGCTATACTCTGTGGAAGTATCTAGTTGATAGAACAAATTTATTTTAATGCATCATAATTTCATTACAATAACTATAATACTCAAATCTGGTGACTGGATCAGTATAGTTTTTTTAAATTTGCTCTATACACACCATACGTGCTTACCATTAACAGTTGCTTTACAATTTGCACATTCAGAAAGCACCTTTTTGTTGTTTTGATAGCATTCCATGCATTGGAATAGACACTCTTTTAAACCCCTCTTGCACCTCTCGCATCTGAACTCTCCTAATTTTCCTTTATATACACATTTTTTTTTTGATTTTCTACAACTTGCACAGCTGCTCAACAGTTTAGGTGTTTCTGCTAATTCTGATACCTATTTTAAAAGTTTTATAATTACAATAAATCGTAAATAGTAAATTCTTATATACGATATAGTTCTGAAATCTATCTAGATTTTTCATATGAACTCCAAGAATTCCAAGTCAAACCTCCATATGGGAACTTCCACAACAAAAGAAGGCAATGGCAAAAAGATTTGATTTTGTAATTTATAAAAATTGTATTTCCGATACTTTAATTCTTCAAGAAATTGAGTTTGAAAAAAATATAATTTTTTTTTTGCCCATTGCCTTCTTTTGCTGTGGGAGTCCCCATATATGCACCCTTCAACATCAACCATAAGTGCGCATTTATAAAGAGTGTAATTCAGAAAGAATATATTTATAAGTGTCATTAGTAGTTGATGCAATTAAAGAGGTTGTGCATATATAGAACATAATATATGGATATTTGCCCGTATGTAATTCCGCAAAAATTTTTACAGTTTAACCTTGATATAAATTTGGTTGCAAATCCAATGATTATATCGAGGTTATATTGTATTAATGCCTATTTGATATAAATATACCATAGTGCACTGACCAAAAGACCCGGGTCTAATACAAAATACCCAACAAAAAACTTACAAAAGACTCGGGTATATTATACAGAAACGGGTCAGTGTCGCAAGAAAAAAATTTTTCAAGCATACACATATTCTGCACTTATAATAAGCTGCCTAAAAATTTTAAAAAACTATATTTAATTAATAGAGGTCTCATGTTTTGCACCAGGTACTTTGCAAGAGAGGGGATATTGAAAAAGGGGATACTTTGGTCAGTGCATTATGGTAGTTTTTTATCGAATCATTTTTTGTAGGGTCATCTAGAATTGTATAATACTAACAAGCACTTGCGAATTAAGTGTTATTGCTGGCATAGAATTGCTGAGGGAAATTTGCGAATTCATTGTTTCTGTCGTAGAATTGCTGCGGGAAACTAATTTAAACTTCCTAAGGGGATCTGTTTGTTTTCTTTTTTGTTTTTTCAGTTTTAGTTCTAGTTGATTTATCGTGGTAATATTTTTGAATTTAAACGTTTTCATTTTGAGTTTATTATTAATCTGGCCGGTTAAAATTTTGAACCTTAAATATGCATTTTGTTCCGAATAACCGGAAAATTTTCCGCGACATCAATCGTCGCATAATTTGTGTTTCAGCGTTATCACTAATGAATTGACGTTCAGCCCTTTATCTTTAATATTTCTAAAAGCATCAATCTCATTAGGTGGCTTTTTTCAAATTCTGTCGTGAAACTTTTCTCTGCCGAAAAAGTTCTATAGTCGAAAGATTTAGGCATGCGGCGTTTTTTACTGTCTACCGGGTTGGGTTGGTTAAAGGTCCCTAAACAGGGCCTTTTTTACCGCCTCCGCTAATATTTAATTTTATTATTTTTCTTATGTACAGTATATAAGAAAAATAATCATATTAATATATTTAATTTTATTATTTTCTTAGAAAAATAAAATTAAATATTAGTGGAGATGGTAAAAAAAGGCCCTGTTTAGGGACCTTTAACCAACCCGGTATGACTTTATACAAAATAAACGATCAGACAGAGTTAACAATCGACTAGACATATACTTACCCATTATTCCATCTAAAATGCGTCAATTTAATGTATCTAACATATAAAATACCTAGTTAATTCGGGGGGTTTTTTTATACAAAGATTGAATATACAGTACATCACTCCTATAGATAAATCATATCCAAAAAAAGATGCCTACTCCATTTAGCGAAGAAATTTTTTGTTGTGAAAGTGATATATAAGATGTGTTTCTGGTCAATATAAATTGCAAAAGATTTTGCAAAGTATAGCCAGCACAGCATAATCATGTCAAACTCTTCCCACGAGGTAGTAATTGGTTACAAATGCTTCCTTTGTCGTAACCAAGGAAAGAAGTGTCTTCATGACGAAGGAGCTCTAGGAATATATAAATGTAAAAAATGCGAGAGGAAAAGAATAGATTGTTTGGTTCAATGCAATGAGTGTTATAAAAAAAATGTTCCGTTTTCTGAAGAATGTAGGAACTGTAAAGTGGTTATTGAAGGTACAAATGTAGTCACATAATTCTTTGTTGAATTCGTGCATGTTCTAACATGATATTTAATTAGTCCAACCTACTAGAGGTAATTTTATTGAAGAGGATGGCCAGATATACCTTCAGACAAGTGATGGAAAGATCAAAGTAAAAGTAGGACAAGGTGTGGCTAATATTTTAGCTATATACTATTTTCTGTCATTTTGCACTAAAATTTACAATAATATTTGTACAGAAGAACTCGAAGCTCTTCTAAAATTATTGCAGAATAAAAATAATCTTCCGAATATTTGCGAAGATCCCGTTTCCAATTCTTTTGTGTTAAATGCCATCAATCCCGTTCCCATCAACCTTGTTTTAGAACAAGATTATCTTAACTCTGTAAACTCCGATGGAAGTTCCGTTGCTCCTTCTGACCCATTTCAATATCTATCCTCTTTCCAGTTCTATGAATCTCCTGGAGTCCATGACCACTTTTTATATAATAATTCCATCCTTTATCCGCCTTTTCCCCATTCTTTCTATGAACCTCCTTATAAGAACCCTATTACCAGTTCCATTTTCTTTGGCTATCCGTAATTTCTTACTAGTTGATAAATGTCCCGAATTTTGACTTATAGTTTAATAAATTGATTAGTTAATTAACTGATAAGTTTGAATAAATAAGTTCATTTGCTCTGAAAAATATTTCTTGATTGATTAATTTCGTCTCAATGTTCATCTGCTTAACTGATTAACGTGTTTGTAGCCTTTACTATAATCTTGCGCTTTTGACGAAATGTAATGATGAAAATATGAATGGAAACGTATTTTAATATACAGTTGACTCTCTCAAAACCGATCCTGTCAAAGCCGATAACCTGTCAAATCTGATAAAAATTAATCTGCCAAGTCCGTTCCCGTTATATAAATCTAATAATTTGCTATGTTTTCAAATCCGATAACCTCTTAAAGCTGATACAAAACCTGTCCACCAACATACAGATTCTGAGAGGGTCAACTGTAGTTAAATATCTAGCTTACCCTTTCATTAAAATCATTAGAAGATTCCATCCCCACTTGCAACGTTATTCATATTATTTCAACAATAGAGTGTTACAGTGACTAACATTTATCCCTCTTATGAGTAATAATGCGCCAGGCATTAACTAAACCGATACTACCGCTAATTTGCATTGTCTCTAAATAATTTAAATTTTGCTTATGAAGTCACCCTCGGTGTCTTGCCTGATTTTCTTGCAACCTAATCCCACGAATTTTACGGACAGTGTTAATGAAAGATAATCATACGAATAGCATTAGTGCTAGCCCTAATAAATCACGTGAATCGACGCTGTCCCTCAGACTAAAATTCAACAGATCTCATAGTACATCCGATCAGATTTTGACAATATTTTTATGTAATATAATGCTTGTGAAGCATTTTTTAATTAATGCACAGAATCTAGCTTCATAACTAAGTTTTCTAGTTACAGGCTTTGTTTTTAATTTTCGCGTTCGTAACTTAATTACGTTTCAAAATTGACTTTTTCAAAAATCGTCAATAACTTGAATTTTTACCTATGAAGCTGCTTTTGTGTTTTAACTAAAAAGAAAAAGGTTAAAATTTTTAGAATGAATTTTGCTAACTCTAGCCCAAATTGGGGGAAGTTTAAAGCAGAGATAAGTCGGGTGTCTCTTAGAATTTGATTGGTTATATAAAATATATTGAATTTGATTGGTTTTATGTCGCGTGATTCGTCCTCGACCTCCTAAAATGGAAATAATCGTCATTGTTCATAAGGGAGGCTTTAGAACATAGTATCAAGCACAGGATGGCACTATGTTTTGGGCTGACCAGACCAATTTGACCAATGACAAGTCCGGTCAAGCATCTTTGACATTGATCAAGTTGGTCAAATAATCTAGTTATAAGAACAAATTGACCAATTAGGCCAATTTACCTATAATCAAATTTGCTTGAGTGGTCTGATTTGTTAATTTGGTTCATATTGCAAGATCATTTGACCAATTTGACCAGCAAATTTATAGTCGACCACTAGTTTGACCAACACTGGTTTTAATGGTATGTGTGCCAATACTTGCAGAACCCTAATGGGCGTCTATGTTAGATATTGCGGAATTATAATGATTTGACCTGATGATTTAACGCATAACATATAAAAGAATATATCTTGTAAAGATTATTAATAAGTTTTAGGAGATTAGTTTAGAATTTGGCAGTTAGTATATACATAGATGCGCGTGACTAAAAATGCTGGTGCAATTAAGCCGGAGTGGTGAATGGATCTTTGCTTGGAAATAAAATTACGATATGTGGCTTGACTTGACTTTCCAATCCCAAACATTTCACCATTGTTGGTGAAATTAGAAATTAATATTGAGATTTGGTTACATTAATTTCATCAGTATCTCTACAGTTGATACTCCTTGTCAAAACTGATAATTTGCCATAACCGATTCGGTGGCCTATTTCTACATTTACAAGTTCCTGATATGTTAAATGGAGTCACATGATAATGAGCCAATCAAACGAATCATAGTGCCAGTCCACACATTTTAGTAATTTAGTTTGCTGAGTCCAAGAACCATAGCATTCCCATCATAATCGAGTATGTATTTCAAAGAATCTAAGTAACATCTAGATAGGCTAGTAACGGCAGAAATTTTTCATTGCTATGAGATTTAGCCAATAAGATCGAATCTTACATAATAAAATTTATCGTCAAATTTTGGTATAATTAACCCAGCATTAACCATTTTAAGGTTTATTACTTTAAAACCTTAGCAATTCGATTGTTTTGACCTTCACATTACATTCTTGAAGATCACGTGGCAGCGACATTTTTCTGGCACGATCAGTGAATCATAATTTGGCCAATCAATATGTTGATTCAAAGTATCAGAGGGTAAAATTAGAGCAATTCAACTCAAATTTTTACTGCAAAATTCAGCATCAAATTGGCAACCGTCAAAAGTTTTGCTTGCTTAACATCTCTGACACTATGACTCCAAGGCCATAAAGATCAGCAATTAGTGCACTTCATAAAAACAACTTTCTTAATCATTCCTATTTCCTTTTTCGGCAATCCCAAACCCGAGATATAAAATTGCACACTTAGCCAATGTCTTTGTCTTACAAAACTTTACTGTAAAAGTTCGTAAAAATATTCTGCTCCATAAATTCTGCATAAATCTCATAAAATATCTGTAAATGATAAGTCATATATAAATTAGTTATCTTGAATTAATCAAAGTAAATTTACAAATAGGTAGGGTTAGGGTTATAATATAAATTGGCTCAAATTTGATAGGTTTCATATATTATAATATTGCAATAATTTATATATACCCATCTATACTAAAGAAGATCCTTATATATATTACAATTATATAATAATCATATTTTCTTACCTATACTAAAGAACAACCGTATTTTTAATTTAGTTAGTAATGTAAGGTCTTGGAAATACCACTTTAAAACTTACAGTAGTATAATAACGATCAATTAGGTGATTTAGGAACCAAATCCCAAGTCATCTAGATTGTATGTTCGTACTAATTATTTTTAAGTGATGCAGTCGTTAATTTTTAGCTATGAATAAAATGAAAACAAAAAAATAGTATATATTCACAAATAACTTAATTTAAATATTTATGCTTACGGGCTAAATTAAGCGAGTCAAATAAAAAATTGAAGAGTAAATATTCGTGAACTTGAATAGCATTATTTTAACTATATATACAAAACCTCTTAATGCTCAGATTGAAATGAAATAGCCTAAAAAATGTGATCTTTGAGACTGCTATCAGATTCTGAGATTTGTTTGGATTTCTTGCAGCTTGCAACCTAATTGCAACCCGGTAAATGGATTTGTGCCTTCAACAAGATCAGTGTATTGTTGAACAGCAGTGAAAACTTCAAGAACGTTCTTATCCAAAATGCTGTAAATAGGATTGATACATCCAATATAGTGTTCATATTCGATTCTAATTTATCTACTTGACTAAGACAATATGTAAAAATCTGTTTAGCTGGCTAAGTCAAAGTCGATTGTTCTAATTGGTTAATCTCAAACTTGTGATTTTAAATGGATATGATTGGTTAATTATTAGGCACGATAACGATCTCCTTTAGTATGTGGCATAATATGTCTCAGAACTTTCCGTAAACTCACTATTATAAAGGTAGTTTTTCCCAAATTTTCAGATACTTCCTATTCGTTCAATCAAGAATTGACTAAATCAATTTTTCAAACAAACGACTGACTTAGTCGGCTAAGTCGATTTTATCGCTAATGCCAAATCGATTACAGTCACCAATCCAATACAAGTAAAAGGGTAAATTTGTTAGCCGATTTATGTACCCTATATGATTGCGCTCATCCTTTATATTAAAACTATTCGAAATCCAAACGCAGAAAAGCTTCGATTCAAAACGCTAACGACAGACTTAAAAAATTATGTTACAGCTAGAATTTTAAAATTTTCAGCGAACTAAAAGATATACTACAATAAATTTGTCAAATTAAATTTTAAGAGCATCGTCATGTATAAACATATTAGACATAGTTATAAACTACTAATAAATCACGATTGCAAAACAAAACCACTAAAATAATTGATTTACTTGCGAAATACCATGGTATGTTTTCGCGCTTAAAAATATTCATGATTTTTGCAAAGGATGAATCTAGTTTGTTTGCTTTAGTATGATTTTATATTAAACAATTGACGAATTTTTTTTCTTAAAGAATTTTTTCTATGGAATGTTTAGGGCCCAATTACTTTTCGAAAGGTAGTTGTCCGCTTGTAAATGTCGGAATTGCTGCTAAAAAAGTAAATTTCCCCAAAAGGAATTAGTCGGCTAAATGATTTAAAAGTAAATTGTCCAAAGAGGAACTTATTTTTCACGAGTAATACAAACACAAAAAAGGGGTCAGGTACATCATGTAATGATCTACATACTGCATAAAATGTATTCTTGATATCTATATAACCCACAAACCTAATTGCATCAAAAAAGTAACCCTAACTGGTACCTGGCTTTAACGTCCCCCCAAAAGGGAAATGGCTAAAGAATTAGAGTAAGGGTTAGTTAGGGGTTGGTTTGGTGTTAGGTCGCATTTTTATTAATGCCCCGAGACATGTTTATTGGGAAAATCCAAAATTTTATTACTTGATTGGCTGTTGGTCACGCGAACGCACCTGATTCCCAAAAGGAAATTATGATAGAAATTTAAGGTTAGGGAGGTAATCTAAATAAAGTGACATTTGTACATGCACTAAGGTCAGCTTAAACGGTAGTTTTCGTTTTTTCTTTTTTTCACTTTCATGCTTCGGATTCAATGCGAGCTGATCCGGTGATCTGTTGGTTCCTTTTCAGGAGTTTGTATTAATCACGAAAATAAGTGGGTGCAGAACTACGTAGTCGGGCTAAATACTTAAAATGAAATTGTCCAAAAAGGAACAAGTCGGCTAAATGCTCAAAAAGTAAATTTTCAAGAGGATTGAACGAAATTCTTATTGTGCGAATGATACAAACCAAAGAAATGAGTTAACGTTAAGTAAGAATTAGG